TTTCACCTAGGCTTGAGTAGGGGTGGGGCAGCTTTCAATCTCAAGAGGTGGTAGGATTGTTGGGTTATTGAACTAAGAGGTCAGTTTGTCCCTGGCTGCTGACTGGAGAGTGTTCTCAGTTCCTCAACACAGAGACCACAGGGCAGGTCACAGTGTGGTGGCTGTCTGTTCTGATGGTGAGAAATGAGAAAGAAGAAAGGCAAAAGGCAATGTCTATAGACCTTAGTCCTGGGGAGTCAGCCCTGCCGGTACAGTGGAGTACATTTATAATCCTAACACTGGGGAGGCTGAGGCCAGAGTGTTGCCACAGACGTTGGAGGCCACACTGGGTTACCAGGCAACTGTCTGTCTCAAACAAGTAGACAACTTCCTCTTAGGCCTGGTGAAATGAGTTTGATCTCTAAGACCTATGTAGTGGAGGGAGAAAACCCAACTCCCTAAAGCTGTGCTCTGACTTCCTAATGTGTAGCATGACATTTATGAGTGCTCCCAAGTGCTTGCTTTCACCTGTGTTGGAGCACGCACACACACACACACACACACACACACACACACACACACACACACACACCTGTATTCCCTGTTCTCTCGATGTAGCAGCTGTTAATAGTCCAGGAGGAAGCTAGCAGGCAGGCATCAGACCCCTGGTAATGCACAGTGGGATTGATGGAGTTGCTGTGCATTCTTGCAGCAGGCGCTACTGCACAGAGCATCAGCCCTCGGGTTGTGTGGCAGTTCTGAAATATGATCAAGTGCCCGATGACTGCATTGATCCCTTGTTGGACTACAACAACCATGGCTGCTACTGTGGCTTGGGGGTCTCAGGCACTCCGGTGGATGAGTTAGACAGGTGAGTGATCCATCTGGTGGGAGACTGGAGGGTCTGGGTTCTGGTGGGGACAGCACACAAGCACACATCTCATGAGGCATGAGCAGGAGACATGCATGTCCACCAAACATGGTATATTTTGTTTAGTTTCTTTATTATTTTTGTTTGTTTGTTTCCAGACAGGGGTTCTCTGTGTAGCCCTAGGTGTCTCATAATTTTTTCTGAGAACATGCTAGCCTTGAACTCAGAGATCCATCTGCCTCTGCATACCAAGTACTCGGATTAATGGTAGACACCACCACACCCCAAAGAAGTTGCTTTCCATAAGTATGTGCTTAATACAAATCACAGATTTTCAAGCCTCAGGATGATTTTTTCTGGAACACCATGTTTAAGACATCGTCACAGGTGAGAACTGACCTCCTGTGGGTCCATAGTCCTACCTTAGCTGTTTCTTCCTCTCTCCAGATATTGCCAGACTCATGACCACTCCACATTAAGGTCAAGAAGCTGGAAAACTGCAAATTCCTGACAAATGACCCCTACAGCAGCTCCTACTCATGCTCTTGCTCTGGGAATGAGGTCACCTGTAGTCATCGGTCTACCCTCTGGGACCACTGATTTCTACTTTGTCCTCTGTGTCTATGGAAGGGATAGGGAAGTAACAAGGACAGTCACCATTTAGTGGTCATTTCCTTGGTCTCATTTGACCTCACAACAATCTTATCAGGTAGACACTAAAATATAGATGAGGTTAATGATGAGGAAACTGAGGAGGGCAGGGTCAGCCAGCTTAGAAGTGATGACATTTTGTTCTGGAACGCACATCTACTTCATTTTAAAGCCTGTTTTTAAAAAGTTTTCAAGATTTTATTCTTTTCTGGGGGAGGCATTTCTGTGCCACCACCCAGGTGTGCAGGTCTGAGGACAAAGTGTCTGTTCTCTCTTTCAGCCATGTGAGTCCTGGGGATGGAACTCGGGTTCAGAATGGGCAGCAAGCGCCTTTATTCCCTGAGCCATCTTGCCTGCCCAAAGCCTCTCCTGTTAGCTGCTGTGTTATACTGATTCCATACTGACTTAATAATTGAAATCTGCATCATTGATTATAAGCCAGATACTGGACTAAACACCTATGCAGGGCAAGATTTATCATTCCCATCTTACAGGTGAGGATTCAGAGGGCTGGGAATATAGATGAGTTGTTAGAGATCTTGCCTAGCATGCACAGAGCCCTCTTCCTCTTCCAGAACCCATACATTGAGTGTGGTGGTGCACACCTGCAAATCAGCACTTGGTGAAGTCAGGAGGATTGTCTTCAAATACATAATTTTATAAGTGGCAGTTCATATTTGTATTTTTTTTTTTATTTTTTTGAGACAGTGTTTCTCTTTGGAGATTGCCCTGGAACTTCCTCTGTAGACTAGGTTGACCTTTAACTTACAGAGATCCACCTTCCTCTGCCTTCCAAGTACTGGGATTAAAGGCATTTGCCACCACCGTCCAGCTGATAATTGTAGTTTTATAGGTTTTAGGAATAAATATATGTGTTTATTTTTATGTATGGGAATGAGTTGGCATCCCATGTCTTCTCCAGTCACTCTCCTTCATGTCTTTAGGGCCTCGGTCTCTCTCTCTCTCTCTCTCTCTCTCTCTCTCTCTCTCTCTCTCTCTCTCTCTCTCTCACTCTAAACAGGACACTCACCTTAGCCTGAAGGAGCAACAAGTTTTGGGGATCTGTACTCTCCACTTTCCAATAGAGTTAGAGATGCCCCAACTACACCTTGCTTGTACATGTTCTCTGGGCTTCCTAGGTCAGGCCCTCATGATTGTATGACAACCACTTTACCAACTGTGCCATCTCCCCAGTCCACAACAACTTATGTTCTTATTATAAGTGTGTTCCAGCAATTTGCACAACCTAATGGACATCCATGTGCTCTGTTTCCCAGCCCAAACCTGCATTAATGGGAGGGCCACTGGTTCCTTTTGTCTATAGATCAAGGGCTCCACTTGACTTCCTTTCTTGTTTCTCTCCAGACAAAAACAACTCCTGTGAGGCCTTCATCTGCAACTGTGACCATGAGGCTGCTATCTGCTTCTCCAAGGCTCCAAACAACAAGGAAAACAAAGGCATTAAGTGTTAGACTTCTCACCTCAGTTACTGGGACACCATCCCTGCCTGTTTGGTTGTGGTCACTACTCACTGCCCCCTCTAATAAAGCACATATAGAAAGACTGAGCTTTGGTGATTGTATTCTCTGTCTACCGAACATAACTAGATCCTCAGAGGACATCATCCTGTCTATTCCTGGAAAATGAAGGTTAATGGGAAAGACTTTTCTACAAAGTAAGGACCTTGAAGAGTGGGTGATGATTCCAGCCATGCCTTTCATCCCAGCATTCCGGGATGCAGAAGCAGAGGCAGAGGTAGGCAGATCTCTTGAGTTCTTGGCAAAACTGGTCTAAAAGCAAGGTCCAGGACATCCAGGACTGTAAAAGAAACCCTGTCTCAAAAACTAAACAAAAAATTCAAAAAAAGAAGCCAGCCTGAGATACGTAGTTGGGTAAAGGAGACAGAAGGGGGAAGGAGAGTGGAGAGATATGGAAGGGAAATGGATAGGAAAGGAGGGGAGCGGTGGGAAGTGAAGGAAAAACAGACAAAGAGTGAGGAGAGGAGAAAAGAGAGAAAGATTCAGTGTCACATGGGCACTAAAGGAACATCTTGCTCTAAAAATTCTGGACTCTCAGGGTGGTGTCCATGCAGGCCTTTATTCCCTGCACTGGAGATGCAGAGATAGGCAGATCTTTGCAAGCTGGAGGCCAGCCAGGTCTATAGAGCCACTTCCAGGGCAGACTCCAGAGCTACAGAAAACCCTGTCTCAAAAAAAAAAAAAAATCCCTCCTCCCATCCTGCAAAAGCAAAACAAAACAAACAAACAAAAAACTGGACTCAAACACTTGTGCTGTGCACTCATCATAAGAAATTGGATATAGGTTCTGGAAAGATGGTTTAGATGTTAAGAGCGCTATCTGCTCTTATAGAGGTCCTGAGTTCAATTCCCAGCAATCACATGGTGATTCACAAACCATCTGTTAGAGATCTGGTGCCCTCTTCTGGCTTGCAGGCATATGTTCAGAACACATAATCAATCAATCAATCAATCAATCAATCAATTAATCTTGAGGGGGAAAAAGAAGTTGGATATAGGAAACCACACTGGACTGACCGTAAATGACCTGAAGGTTGGATTACATCCTGGTGGACTTCCAGTCTTCACTGTGCCTAAACACGCCACAGGATAATATCCTGTTAAAGCACACAGCAGCCTAACTTTTTGAACAAAGAAGTCAGAACACATCCTCTTCTCTACCTTTCTCTATCATGGGACCCCGAAGGTAAAGCCAGGTTATTCTCTGGTTCCCTGGTGAACCAGGTTTAGGAATAACCTGTCTCATTGGCTGGTTTAAGGCTGCGTGGTTGTCAGTCACTCTTTTCCTTAGTGACCAGCTGCCCAGTCCTCCGTCTTTCTAACTCCAACCCCATCCCCACTGGAGTCCCAAAGCTCAGGCCTTGACCCTCCCAAGGTCAGGCCTGGTGAGCAACAGGTGCAGCTTGTGCCCTGTGCAGGTGCAGTGACTGGTAATATATTGTAGTGGCTGTCCAGAGTCCTGCTGGAGGGGTCATAGGGGTCTTGAGCATGGAGACAACTCAACTCACCCCTGACATGGTTTTTATTCACAGACAAGGAGAGAAGTGGGGAAGAAGGAGGCGCTGGAGTGAAAAGTTAGAGGGAACATGAGAGATGGCCAAACCCAGAGGCAGAGGGCATTGGGCCAGTGGACATTATTCCCCAGCAACCAAGTGGTGGTTGTTGAGAACTGAACTCCCGGTCCTCAGCAAGAGCAGAAAGTGCTCTCACCTGATGATCAGGAGTATTACACAAAGATATTCTGTCTCAAAAAAATGGGAAGAAGCCAGTATGAGATAATTGTGGGTTAGAGGGGACAGAAAAGGGATGGAGGGGGAAAGCCAAGGCAGGGAAATGTACAGGAAAGGAGGTGAGGGGTGTTGTGGAATATTATTTGAAGATGTGTTACATTTGTTTATGCTGTGAACATTTGTTTTAATGATACAAAGACGTGTTGCAATCTTTTCTTATGCTTTTTTAGAATTTAAAAATTTTATTTTTATTTACAACTTTTTTATTCATTTTCCATACCAACCAAAGCCTGTCACTCATCCCTCCTCCTGATCTCCCCCTACTTGCTCCCTGAAGGCCTCCCATGTGGAGTCAGCAAAACCTGATACATTCAGTTGAGGAAGGGTCAAGCCACTCCCCACTGTATCAAGGCTGTGCAAGTTTTTTTCACTATAGGTAGTGGGCTACAAATAGCCAGCTCATGCAGCAGGGATAGATCATAACCCCACTGCCAAGGGCCCCTCAAACAGATCAAGCTACACAATTGTCTCCAGAGGCCTAGTCCATTCCCATGCAGGTTCCACAGCTGTCAGTCTAAAGTTTGTGAGTTCCTATGAGCTTGGTTCAGTTACCTATGTAGATTTCCTCATCATGATCTTGACCCCTCTTGCTCATAGAATCCCTCCTCTCTCTCTTTGACTGGACTCCCAGAGCTCAGCCTGGTGCTTGGCTGTGGATCTCTGCATCTGCTTCCGGGCTATGATCTTACTGTGCTTAGTACTCTGCACTGTGTTGTATTCTTTCATGTTGTATTTGTTTAACTCTGTGAATCTGTGTTACTGTGCCTGTCTAAAACACCTGAGGGTCTAATAAAGAGCCGAATGGCCATTAGTGAGGAGAAAGAAAGGACAGGCGGGGCTGACAGGCAGAGAGAATGAATAGAGGAGAAATCTGGTTGGGGTGAGAAGAAGGAGAAGGAACAGGAGAACATGGAGAGGAGGACGCTAGGGGCCAGCCACTGAGTATGTGTGAAAGTAAGATATACAGATGTCAGCAAAGGAAAAAGCCCAGCGACATAAGGTAGACTTCACCAACTTAGAG